AGGAAAAAGATGGAAGAAAAAGTGGGATATATGGAATATTCTGGAACAAAGAAAATAGAGATGCAGTTACTAGAAAGGTTACTGTATATTTATTCAGTCAAGGCCAGAGTCCATCACCAGGAAGTCTTGAACCTGTGGGATCCTCACCTGCACTGGATTCCTAACAGCCCACACTGTCCTGCCTCCTCATTCCCTCTTGGGAAGGACAGAGCAGTTTTCCTAATTCAGCCTCCTCTCCACTCAAACACATGGGCAGGATTCATTTCAGGAGATGAAATGACCAAAGATTGTCCTGAACAAGAACCATAAAACAGGCTGCACACAAAAGGTCAAGGAAACATTACCCAACAAAATGGTTCAGCACTTCAGAAACATGAGAGAGGACCAATATTTGGTTTGCTTGGGTTTTTTTTAATGTATAGAATCCCAGATTGCAAAGGTGGGAAAGGATCTTTAGGATCATGAGGTTCAAACACAGCATGACCACCACGTTCACCATAAACCCTCAGCTACAGGCAACTGAATGAATTTGGGCCATTTCTGACTGAAATTGGGTTTCGCTACTGCTGGGTTCTCACCTGCTCATAGCTTGGTCATGGTCCTGCTCTCACTGAGAAGTGATGGACACCCTTAGGGAAAAGGCAGGAACGTTTGTCCCCACAGCAGTCACTGCCTGAGACCAAAGAGTTTGGCAAATCAGTGGCTCAACTCTGGGACAAACTTCAGTTCCTTCCCAATTTTAGCCCTTCCAGCCCTCACTCAGCACCTGGGCAAGAACCGAGTCACAACATCTAATGGGTTTTGACCATCATCAGAGAGCGAGAGCAGAGTGAAAGCCCTGCCAAGACTCTGGTGGGCTCACTTGGTCCTTTGCCCAAAGAAATGGTGTTGGAGGCAACAAAAAACCTACCAGCTCATTCACACCAAGTGGGAATGGAAAATGTCCATCATTTATCCATTCTGAGGTCACAGTCATTCTGTTTCCCAAATACCACATTAGAAAAGAGGAGAAAAAAAATTAAAAAAAAAAAAAAAAGTATTGTTTGATTAAGTTCAAGGATGGGTTAAAATGTAAATTGATTAAAAAATAAGAGGAAGAAATTTGGTTACAGAAATTTCAAGTGTCTCTCCCTCCTGATGTCCTTTCTGTCTCTAGAATAACGACTCTAATCCCTGCTGGTAACGTTCCTCTCTTTTCACTACAGATGTGACATGGGACAGCTGGGAAGAGGAGAGCAGCAGCCTGACCTGCACCAGGTCAGTCCCCTCTGGTCACTGGGCAATTCAAAAAAGTATATGAGCAGCAAAATGCTCTTTTTTCCCCCCTTTTAAATATAGTATGACTAAATCTGTGTGGGAGGTTGTATACAGGTCATTCATCTCCTTCCGCAAAACCAACCCAAGAGTGACAGTGTTCACCGTGGAAAAAGACTGCAATGGTTTAAAAAAAAAAAAACGACAACCAAACCAAACCAATTTAAAAAACATCAAGCCGAAAGAGCAAAATGAAATACCTAAAGGGGGACCTGGGCCGAGCAAAGACAAAGCAATGGACTGGACCCACCTGGAGAGCAAAGCCAGTCGGTCGGCTCGGGCGCATGTGGCTGGAGAGCGTCTGGCGGCCGCGCCGAGCGCTCCACGTCTGCCCACGGCCCCGACACGCCGTGGGGATGGGCTGCAGAGCCTGCGGGGAGGGGGGACCCACTGCGAGCTGCTGGGGGGGATCTGCCTGCATGGGGAGAGGGCCTTCACCTGCTTGATTTCGTTTTTTTTATTTTATAAGCTACAGAACGTGGAATGCAAAACCTCCATTTATTCCTTCTGGGTCATATGAGGGAGCCACTGGCGAAGATAATAATATATGAAGCAAGAGAACGAGAGGGAGAAAGAGGGAGGGAGGGAGGGGAGGGAAGGAGGGAGGAAGGGAGAGAGAAGCAAAAGGCTTTCTATTATTCGGGACACTGGTGATGCACACTGAGGCAGTTGGAAGATTAAATTAAGTATTATATCTGCTGACCCCATTGCCATGGTTACCGGACAGCGGAAAATATTAATCAAGCCAAGCCTTTTCAGCTGAACATACCAGAAAAAAATGCTAAATATAAATATATATGTACATATTTGCTGCTCTGCCATGCTAATGTGGGCTGCCAGCAACCAAACCACCTGATATCACAGAGATAAACAAATTTAAAATATCCTTGCTGCACAAGAAGGCTGACGTCAGTGTGGCGAGCGCAGCGCGAGGACAGGGCTGCAGCGCTCGCTCGCCCTTCAGCTGATTAGAGAGGGAATTTGAATAAGGAATGGCGACATCTTGCTGGGTGCCTGAGCTCAGGAGGCATTTAGGGTTCTCTTCCCAATGGGAAGAAAGGAACCAGCGCCAGTCCCGGCCAGGAACCGGTTCTGCCATGCAGAGCCCTGGAGTCACATCCAGACCGCACATCTCCCACGGGGAATCAAAGCAATTCCCACCAACTTGGGGTTCACCTTCAAACCAGAGCGGTGCTCAGAGAGCCCCCTCTGCAGCAGGATTTGCCCCTGGGAGGGTCCTTTGTGCACAGGTGACCTGCAGGCAGCTGCTGTCCCACAGCTGGGACACCCGGCCGGCGTGGAGAGCACGGCCAGGCTCGCGCAGGGGTCGCAGCCAGCTGACCCCCGAGCCAGGCTGCACCTGCAGCCAAGGCCCTCCACGCCTCACCCGGCATGGGGGCAGCAACCAAACCAAAGCCAGGTGAATAATAATTGTAATACTGAACTACTACCATTTTTGAACTCTAATCTTAAACACAGAAATGGAAATAACAACACAAATTATTCTGTCCTTTCTCATACAGTAAACCACTGGCATAACTAAAAAGGGAACATAAACTCCTCATTCTCTGCTCTAACCACATACTATAAAAGGATGTCCATACAAAGACAGCATTTCCTCCAAGCCACCATCTTCATTTTTGCCTTGTTGCTTGTTTTTGTCTGTATTTTACAGGAAAGTTTCATGTGGCTGCTGCTGACTTGCATGATTTTCCCTGAGGTATTCAAGCCAGCAGAACACTGAAGTGACAACACATCCTTTGTTGTGTCCTACCCACACACGGAGAGATGAGAAACAAGAAAAAAATTGAAAAAAAAGGAATAATAAGCCACTAGAACCAATGAGAAGTCCAAGCACTTTAAAGGAATCTGAGATGGAAGCAATCAATATTTATCAAGAGAAGCTGTGGCAGGCCTATCCCTGGAAGTATTCAAGGTTTGACAGGGCTTGGAGCAGCCTGGGACAGTGGAAGGTGTCCCTACCCAAGACAGGGGTGGGATGGGATGGGCTGTGAGGTCCCTTCCCACCCAAACCATTCCATGATTTTATGAATACTTTAATACATGTATTTTATAACAGTTCTGTGGAGCTGGATATATACCAGCCTTCTCAAAATCCAGCAGCCTGAGCTCACCAATACAAATATACATATAAAATACTGTATAGATTATACAAAACAAATGTTCTGGTTCATTTACAGTTCTGTAAAAGCAGAGCCAAATTTACTGAAGGCATAAACAAGGACATCTACTTCATTTTTAAAATGTTAATGAAGAATGAGATTGTTATTTGTTCTTGGTCTATTTTGTGATTTTAGCCAATAGTTCTAGTGATAATTATCAACTGTTTATATTTAGATAAAAGCAGCCCATATGGCAACAGCAGAACAATCTGATGTTTAGATCCTCAGCTACATGTTTTCTATAAATAATATGATTGAATAACTGTAACAAATTATTTCATCAGTCTAAAAGCAGATACCAATATATAACAACTAAGAAAGCCATTTACTCATTATCTGCAAACAATAAATACCTTCCCAAGTACATTTAACACTTAGGAAAAGACAAAAATATAATAATACAGATATTAACCCATAAATGCTTACATTAATGTATCTTAAAATTTACTTCTTAACTTCCATGGACACACACACAGTATTATGTGGGCTCTTATGGTAATTAAAGGGTCTGCCTAATTTTGCACACAAATGTGCACAGTTATCCAATGTGTTTGTACCCAAATCTTGTCCAAATCTCAAGCCTATTCAAGCTGTCCTGCCTTTTTCTCACATTCCAAACCTTACGGACGCCCTGCTGAAAGGGAGCTCGATCCTGGAGCCCTCCTCAGCTTGGAACAACCACGCTATCGCCATTCCCAACGTTACGGCAACGCTGACGCACCCGCAGAGAGAGGCTTCAGCAAACACTTGCCAGGATTTTTGGGCTCAGGGTCTCAGGCAGGATTCCAGGTTGCAGAGCCCTTCTCCTCCTCCTCCTCCTCACACAAAGGAGCTCCCCAGGCCTGCCCAGCCAGAGCTTCCCGGAGGGAAAATGATTGCGGCACAATGGCCAGCATGGCCAGCTTAGGGCAGCTGTGTCATATAAATTGTCAGCAATGACCATAAGCACTCAGAGAAACAATTTAATTCCTCACTCCCGCCATCATGGGCTGATATATTCTTTCAAGGTCATTACCCAAGGCTAGGAGGGTCGCGTGATTAACGAGTGACACGTCCAACGAGGGCGGCTGTGCCTGAGCAGGCCTTATATTAATTAGACAGAAGTGCTGAAAAATAAACGGTGCCTGGCAGGGAGGGGCCAGACCCACACTTCCATGGTTGTGCTCCTGCCCAAACTCTCAGCCACCACCCTGCTCCTTCAACCTGCCACCACACCCCAGCAATTCACAAGCAGGATACACAAAAGTTGCTTCTTTCCTGGTGTAAATGACTTGGACTCTCACCCCAACTTTTTGAATCTTTGGTTTATGCTTTTCGTCCTTCTTGCCACAAGTTACTGACTTACACTGGATGGAAGCGCAAGAGACTGATGTTCACAATTAACTTTGCATCTCCAGAGCAAATCTAAAATAAAAAAAGTCCCAAGGCTTGCAGGTTTGTGCCAGGCACTCGGGGAGACCCAGAGCAAGAGCAGAACATACACAGAACATACCCTGGCCCCCATCAGCAATAGCTGTGCTCCAGAGCCCCCGGGCAGGCCAGGCTTTCCAAAGCAGTAATGCACCCTCTGACACCCCTCTCTCCAGGGCTCTGGGACAGCGAGCCTGCTGTGCCACCCCAAACTCAGTCTATGGAGCCCAGAGAGATGGCTCTCAGCAAAGATACAGCTCAGGACTAGCCAGACCTATTATTCAGAGAAAATGTCTTTGGACACCACCTCAATCTCAGATCTCCCCCCACCAGAAGCCTGGAAATCAGCCTGCTTGCTTGAGCCCACAGCACACTGAACTGGGCTTAGTGTAGCGGTTCCAAGAGAAAGAGGGAAACCCATTTTCACCCTGTTGGGGGTGCTGCCAACAGCTCTGTCTAGGATTTATGAGTCAATAGAGAAACACCTTTCAACAAAGCCAGAGTACTCCAGGTCTGCCTGAGCAAGATGGAGCCAATCTTCCAAGATTCTCAGCACTCACAGCTTCAACTAACTTAAATGAAGCCACCTCAACAGCCCTGCAAGATTACAGTCAAGCATTGCTGCTATTCAGTTACTGCCCACAACACTGTGCTGCCTTCTGGCTGCTCAGGCACTAAAAACCAGGACTCCTTCTGGTATTTTACAGTGCTCCCTAGACAGGACCTTCCCCTCAGCCCCAGCCAAGATTTTGGTGACGCAAATCACTCACCCCAACAGCAGTGCCTGGTCTGCAGACAGCTCTGAGAATCTGACACCCCACCACATCCTCCAGGCTGGAAACCTCCAGGCTCCTCAGATAAAATCCTGCCCCAGCAGTCCCCCACAGCATTCCCCAGGCAGAAGAACCCCGTGCCTCTGCTCCTGATACATGTTCCCACCCTCGGCAGCTCTGCCTAGCGTGGGGAGCAGCCAGGCCAGTCCCCCACCCCCCAGGTGACCCTGCTCTCTGCTAATCACCATCAATTAACTCATTAATTCACCACAGCTGATCTTTTCAGAGCCCGCGTTTTCTATGTTCAACACACTAAGACAAAAAGGAACCATAAAGCAGAAGTGAAATCTGAAGAGCAGTTTTTTAGGGTGTCACTGGCCTGATGGCACCCAGGGCTTGCCGTGTTCTAACTACAGATGCAAAAGACAGCAGGAAAGAAAAGCAAAACTCTGCCCTAACCACTAACTTTTGATCATCATCTGCTTCTTATAATCCACCATCAAGGATTCCAAGACATTTCCCTGGGATTGTCTGTTGGGCACTTGGAAAAGAGCCAACACCTGAGAAAGGGAACTGAGACAAAAAGCCAAACACCTGTGGCTAGGTTGTTAATTAGAGTCAAAAAATAATTTATTTTCTAATCCAAACCAAAATTTCACCTTATTTTCTAGCACCATCATTCATTCCCTTTCTCCTCGTGAAAAAATGAGTAATGAGGAATCCCCCCCAATTTACACTCCAGCCCAGCTGCCCCCAGGAGTGTCAGCAGCAGAGGCACGGGTGGATCAGCAGCTCCAGCACCACTGCTGGCTGTGGGGCCAGAGGTGCTCGGCTCTCAGGCACCTCCACAACGAAGACCAGCCAATATTAGGACAGGTGAAATCCAGCAAACAAATAATTACAGAGAATATGTATCAGGAGTGAATAATAACTATTAATCTGTGTTGCTACAGAAATAAAACCTGACCGTTCCCCACGACCCCCAGGCTCTGTGCTGCTGCTCATCACCTGAGGCAAAGGCTCCTTTCCTCTCTTCCTTTAAAGCTCCTGAGCCCAGGGCAGTCCTGAGCAGTCGCAGGTCACCTGTCAAAGGTGGAGCTGCCACGGTGTCCCCAACCCTGCCGGTCAGGAAAGGGTGGCAAGAGCAGGATCACTGTGCAGGGAAGGCACACAGGTACACACACAGGTAACCCACACATACAGGCACACAGGCAGGTAACACACACAAGTAACACACACACAGGGACACACACAGGTAACCCACACATACAGGCACACAGGCAGGTAACACACACAAGTAACACACACACAGGGACACACACAGGTAACCCACACATACAGGCACACAGGCAGGTAACACACACAAGTAACACACACACAGGGACACACACAGGTAACCCACACATACAGGCACACAGGCAGGTAACACACACAAGTAACACACACACAGGGACACACACAGGTAACCCACACATACAGGCACACAGGCAGGTAACACACACAAGTAACACACACACAGGGACACACACAGGTAACCCACACATACAGGCACACAGGCAGGTAACACACACAAGTAACACACACACAGGGACACACACAGGTAACCCACACATACAGGCACACAGGCAGGTAACACACACAAGTAACACACACACAGGGACACACACAGGTAACCCACACATACAGGCACACAGGCAGGTAACACACACAAGTAACACACACACAGGGACACACACAGGTAACCCACACATACAGGCACACAGGCAGGTAACACACACAAGTAACACACACACAGGGACACACACAGGTAACCCACACATACAGGCACACAGGCAGGTAACACACACAAGTAACACACACACAGGGACACACACAGGTAACCCACACATACAGGCACACAGGCAGGTAACACACACAAGTAACACACACACAGGGACACACACAGGTAACCCACACATACAGGCACACAGGCAGGTAACACACACAAGTAACACACACACAGGGACACACACAGGTAACCCACACATACAGGCACACAGGCAGGTAACACACACAAGTAACACACACACAGGGACACACACAGGTAACCCACACATACAGGCACACAGGCAGGTAACACACACAAGTAACACACACACAGGGACACACACAGGTAACCCACACATACAGGCACACAGGCAGGTAACACACACAAGTAACACACACACAGGGACACACACAGGTAACCCACACATACAGGCACACAGGCAGGTAACACACACAAGTAACACACACACAGGGACACACACAGGTAACCCACACATACAGGCACACAGGCAGGTAACACACACAAGTAACACACACACAGGGACACACACAGGTAACCCACACATACAGGCACACAGGCAGGTAACACACACAAGTAACACACACACAGGGACACACACAGGTAACCCACACATACAGGCACACAGGCAGGTAACACACACAAGTAACACACACACAGGGACACACACAGGTAACCCACACATACAGGCACACAGGCAGGTAACACACACAAGTAACACACACACAGGGACACACACAGGTAACCCACACATACAGGCACACAGGCAGGTAACACACACAAGTAACACACACACAGGGACACACACAGGTAACCCACACATACAGGCACACAGGCAGGTAACACACACAAGTAACACACACACAGGGACACACACAGGTAACCCACACATACAGGCACACAGGCAGGTAACACACACAAGTAACACACACACAGGGACACACACAGGTAACCCACACATACAGGCACACAGGCAGGTAACACACACAAGTAACACACACACAGGGACACACACAGGTAACCCACACATACAGGCACACAGGCAGGTAACACACACAAGTAACACACACACAGGGACACACACAGGTAACCCACACATACAGGCACACAGGCAGGTAACACACACAAGTAACACACACACAGGGACACACACAGGTAACCCACACATACAGGCACACAGGCAGGTAACACACACAAGTAACACACACACAGGGACACACACAGGTAACCCACACATACAGGCACACAGGCAGGTAACACACACAAGTAACACACACACAGGGACACACACAGGTAACCCACACATACAGGCACACAGGCAGGTAACACACACAAGTAACACACACACAGGGACACACACAGGTAACCCACACATACAGGCACACAGGCAGGTAACACACACAAGTAACACACACACAGGGACACACACAGGTAACCCACACATACAGGCACACAGGCAGGTAACACACACAAGTAACACACACACAGGGACACACACAGGTAACCCACACATACAGGCACACAGGCAGGTAACACACACAAGTAACACACACACAGGGACACACACAGGTAACCCACACATACAGGCACACAGGCAGGTAACACACACAAGTAACACACACACAGGGACACACACAGGTAACCCACACATACAGGCACACAGGCAGGTAACACACACAAGTAACACACACACAGGGACACACACAGGTAACCCACACATACAGGCACACAGGCAGGTAACACACACAAGTAACACACACACAGGGACACACACAGGTAACCCACACATACAGGCACACAGGCAGGTAACACACACAAGTAACACACACACAGGGACACACACAGGTAACCCACACATACAGGCACACAGGCAGGTAACACACACAAGTAACACACACACAGGGACACACACAGGTAACCCACACATACAGGCACACAGGCAGGTAACACACACAAGTAACACACACACAGGGACACACACAGGTAACCCACACATACAGGCACACAGGCAGGTAACACACACAAGTAACACACACACAGGGACACACACAGGTAACCCACACATACAGGCACACAGGCAGGTAACACACACAAGTAACACACACACAGGGACACACACAGGTAACCCACACATACAGGCACACAGGCAGGTAACACACACAAGTAACACACACACAGGGACACACACAGGTAACCCACACATACAGGCACACAGGCAGGTAACACACACAAGTAACACACACACAGGGACACACACAGGTAACCCACACATACAGGCACACAGGCAGGTAACACACACAAGTAACACACACACAGGGACACACACAGGTAACCGGCACACAGGCACACACACAGGTACACCGGTACCACACACACAGGTAACACACACATACAGGCACACAGGCACACACACAGGTAACAGGTACACACACAGGTAACAGGCACACAGGTACACACACAGGTAACAGGTACACACACAGGTAACAGGCACACAGGCACACACACAGGTAACACACACACAAGGTAACACACACACAGGTAACACACACACAGGTAACACACACACAGGTAACACACACACAGGTAACACACACACGGGTAACACACACACAGGTACACAGGTAACACACACAGAGTACACACACAGGTACCACACACAAAGGTACACACACAGGCACACAGGTACCACACACACAGGTACCACACACACGTGGTGTGTAACACACACAGGTACACATGAACACACACATGGCAACCAAGACCATTTGTACACCTGAACAACAACCAAACCACGTTACCCTGGGCCTGGCAGCCTTTCCCACCTCAAGGAGTGCCCGTGGTTTTGGCAGGCACAAAAACACTCTCCAGGCTTTCACAATGGCCTTCTCCACCTCCCCAGGAGTGACCACTAGGAATCTGATTTGAATTTTTTCTTTCTTTTTTTTTTGGCATTTCCGTAACTTAATTTTGGTTTACCTAGAAACAAGAAAACTGAAAAGAAAGAAAACATGAAAGGGCTACGTTAGCCCTAGAACCGTTTTATGGCACGGGGTAATGACTTGGAGCTGGTAACACTGTTTGATACTTCCCTACTCTTAAATTTCTGCATTTTTGGCCTTTCTTCATAAGACTCCTCTTCAAGTCCATAAATTGCACCACTTTGGAAATCTAGTGGGAAGAATTGAGGTTAAATCCCACTCTCTCCTCAATTTCTGTCCTCCATCGCCAACATCAGGTTGGATGCAGGATGAGTTATGGCGGAGGCAGAGCAGGTTGCAGGATTTCCACGAGCTGCGCACCCCGAGCAGCGAGTGCACCGTGTGTGGGGTACAGGTGTGCCCCCCACCTGTGGTGCAGCTCCCATCGGTCCCAGCACAGCCTGCAAGCACAGCTCACACACACACGGAGCCGCTCCACGCGCTCCCACGCATCCTGCAGAATCCCAACACATCAGAACTGGGATGGATTCATTTCGCAGGCGCCTGACACTGAAGCTCTGCAGACACATTCCCTGCAAGGCTCAGGACAGCCATTTGAGCAGTGGCTTCTCAGCACCAGCACCACGAGCAACATCCCCTGGCCTTACACCACACAAAGGCCAACATTAATTAGAGAGGCCAGGAAAGAAAGATTCCTCCCTTTCCGTTCCGGTCCTTCCCTCCCAGTAATACCCCATTTTCCTGCACGTCTGGGAAATGGGAACAGCACTGGGCACCGCCAGGTGGGCAGTTCAGGTGGAAAGCTGACTCTGGGCTATTCTTAATGTCTTCCCTGTGTATCCATTTATGTTACATCTATTTAAGTGCGTGTGAGTTTATGTGTTCATGCCTGCTCACATCCAGGATAAAAATACACAGCACGGCTAGGCAAATACATGGAAATACAGACAGAATCCAATTCCTCTGGCAGACCACACAAAGGCTAAGAAATGAAAAATGCACTCACGCCCTCTGACACCCTGGCCGAGTGCACCGCGAGAGCTCTCGTGGTGGGGACTGGAGGCTGGCTGCTGGCTCCCTCTCTCTCCCTCTCCCTTTTCTGCTAAGGAGACACTTTGAGCGCCGGGATTGCTCACAATCTGTCTCTGTGATCCACATGCAGGACTGGTAATATGCCTGCTATTTCCCTCTCTCTCCCCCATCAAACCTCCCCCCATCGCTCTTGTTCTCATGTTCAGTGGTTATTTTAGCTTAATGCGGTGACATCACAGCTCGCTCGGTGAGTAAAGCCCCGGTTGTGAATACAGAGCTCGGCTCCACCGATCACTTCCCAGCGATGGATGGGCTTTACTGAGGTTTGGTGTTTTGTGCTCGTCCCCGCAGCAGAAGATGCTCTGTCCCGGCACAGCTCCGCGTGGGATTTGCGGTGCTTGGCAGCAGCTGGGGGGACAGCGATTTCACACCCTGGACTGGGAGCCAAACCTGGGAGAGACACTTTCAAAAAGCTCCCTCATTTTTGACTAGCATAGGAGAGCAGCTGGACACCTGTCTGTTGCAGTCCCCTAAACCTGGGGGAGGGGGTGTCTGCACAGGCTGGAAGGAGGTGGTTCTTATGTGGGGGGAGAGATGGAGCGCTGGAAGGCATCTCATTTTTCAGCATCACTGAGGAGTCAAACCCCCACCTTTCATTAAAATGAAAATACTCTGTGAATTTTTAAAGCTGAACCCCTCTACAAGTCTTCATCTCCCAGTAATTCTTCTACCCCATTATAAAAGATCTGCAACAGTCTCAACAGCTCTCATGATTTTGTTCCATCTTCTTCTAAAACAGGAAACAAAGAAACAGCACATGATATTAGAAAAACTTCACAGCAGAACAGATAAGATGCAGGAGGAGAATAATGCAGTCAAATAAGCTTTCCATTATTAACAACTGTGCCCCGAGGTCTACGGGCATAGTCCCAAAACCTAAATTATCTTAAATCATGAGGTTACCAATAAAGACAGCTCAGGACAGCAGAAGGGGTCTGTGATTTCAGGGGGCTTGCAGACCACATATATATGATTAACATTTCTGTGCTACGGTTTATTACTTCATTATAATATTTTCCATCACAAATGAATAGGTAAAATACCTGGCTATTAAATATAAACCTATCCCTCAGGATGATCAGATTATCACTTGAATTTAAAATCTTTCTGAATTTTTAATAATGCATAACAAATAAGATTATTTATACACTTTCTTGGCTTTGCTTGCAGGGCCCACGGTGACATGCATCTGTCTCTCCTGAAATCCAGGTCTGGTGGGGACACTCGTTCCCTGCTCCCCCTCTCCGCTCCTCATCCAGCTGTGCCCCAAACCCCCGCAGTTTTGGGGCCGGGGGGTGCGGGGGAGTGTGCGGCTCGGCCAGGCCGATTCGGAGCGCGGTCATGAGCCCTGCGGAGCGCCAGCCGCCACAGGCAGCAGCTGAGGAATCGGGGCAGGCTGATGGAAAGTCAAGTGGAGGCCTGGCTGTTTGAAACCTCTTCAATAGATCTGTAGTCTGGACTTGAACCCTGCCCTCTCACCTCGGGGTCCCATATTTCTTCCCCCACCCCCCGCGCCGTCGGCGGCGAGGGGCCGCGAGTGACCCCGGCAGCGCCGCCAGCGAGGGAGCGGCAGCGGCGAGGGGGGAGCGGGGTCCCCGACTTCCTCACAGGTAATTAAGGGACTGTTTTCAAGGTTGCACGGGCAAAAGACAATTCGGCCTAATGAAGCATCGATCGGCCGGCGCGGGCAGCAGGCGCTGCCGTTCCCTGCGCTGCCGCAGCCGGCGGAAGCTCCGCGCCGGGAGCATCCCGCATCCCGCATCCCGCATCCCGCATCCCGCATCCCGCGCCCCACCTGCGGCACAGCCCGCTCGCTGAGCGGGAGAACAGCGCTCATTAGAGAGCCAAAGTGCCTTCGTGGTGGCTTCTGTTTGTTTGTTTCTCTTTGGGATGAAGCTTGCTCATCGTTCCCATTCTAACCTCGCCAATCAGCGCCGGCGGGGCTGGATGCATGAGGTCAGTTATGGAGATGCAGGAAATTACTGGGGATTGGCAGGGCTGGTTTTGTCAATTTGTAAGCAAAACCCTGTTTTATTGCCGGGTTTTCATCTTTTGATCACTGTCAGCCTGTGCTGGCACATGAGAGCTAAAAGCAAAATTGTCTCAAAGGCTGCTGGAAAATTAATGGTGGAGGATTAAAACTATTTTTGTGTAAAATAGAAATAGGAAGCAGGTACTTACATTAAAAAAATAAAGCAAATTAAGCCCCCTGGAAGTGCTGACACATCCAGCTCGATGCTCGCCCTACCCCAGCATCTGCTCCCTGGCTCCGAAGCCAAGCAGCTCGGCAGCATCGCGTTCCTGGGCTCCCCAACCTGCCCTCGCCTCACCCAGCCCCTTTCTTCTGGCCCAAATGTTTGCATTTGTAGGACATCTGAATGGTAATAAAAGGGCCAGGAAATGATAGTTGTGCCAAGTAAATTGGGGTGAATGCTGGGGGAGGGGAGGCCGGATCGATTGTGAAACAACTTGCGCATTATCCGGGAAGGATTTGCTCACGGTCCTGCGCTGCTCCGCGTACGAGAGGCCCCGCACTCAACAATAGCGTGTCCCCTCAGAGCAGGAAACACAAAGGGAATTTGCTCTGATTCAATCCACACAGTGAGGCCCCTCTGGGGCTAAAGAGGGTCACTTTTACCCTATCCCAAAATAAAGAAAAAAGATTTTTTTTTTCCTCTAACACACACACTCACACACACACACACACACACACGATCCGGCTGGGGAAAGCAGCCCACCTCCACTCAATCAGATGCTTAAAAATCATGAGCTGCCTCTCTCATTTTTTCCATTTAGACTTCAGAATTTATCAGAATTTACTTTAAAAAAAATTTAAACAAGTAGAACGTGATCAAAGAGGAGTAAAACGGCCTCTTCCTTTTATTCCATTTCCTTGTCTAACAAGTGCTTTACCCGGGGACTGCTGCAGCACCAGCCCCTAATAACAAAGGAGGTGACAGTGTGAGGGCACAGAACTGTAAACTGCATGTTGAAAGCCACGCGAGAGCCCGGATATCAGGCTTGTGCTGTATTCAGATATATTTGTTTTCTAATACTTCGCCTTTTTTGTTCTGCTTCTAATCCCAAATTCCTCCATCAAGCACAGGTCAGTAACGACGCAGCAATTGTGTGCAACACCTGCTGAAATTATACACAACAAGAAGTTTTCCCTAAAAACCGCTAAAATGTAGCTCAGCAGATTCTATCTGCATTCATTTGGTGGAACAACAAGATATTGGTGGGGACAAACTCCGCATAAAGCAGCCCCGAGCCCCCTGAGTTGGTGGAGCTCAGCCCAAACAATGGCCGCTTCCCATTCACCTTTCCCCGGCTTTTCAAAAGAACATCCCAGAAACACAAAGCAGCAGCGGGAAATGGCAATTTTATGAATCCTAATCAATCAAAGGGCTTATTAACTCAATGTGAAGCCAGATTAAAATCTTTAATTATAAATCGTGCTAAAAGGAAAAACAAAATGTACTTATGGTACATTGAAAATTCCGGATATTAACATAGTTGCCATTATCTCTCGCAATATTAAATTTCCCCTCCCTGCCCTGCAACATGCTCACCTTTTTCTGTTCCTAAAGAACAGAACCGTAGAGCAAACTCATTTTTCTCCTTCCCAGACTTATTAAAATGTATTCCTGCTCCCTGCAGCCGGGGCTTTGCGGCGGGGCTGTGGGAAGCCCCATCCTGGAGGGAGCGGGTGTTTATCGAGCGGCTGGGAGCTCCAGGTGATTTTTTTGGGCCCCAATCCAACGCGAGGCGTTTGTGGTGCTGCAGGGGCCGTGGGGAGGCTGTGCCCTGCGGCCCCCGGAGAGGCCTCGGCGTGCGCGGGGCCACGGGCGCTTTTCGGCCCGGCAGGCGTTGGGAAATGACCACGGCAAATGGAATCCCGGCTGGACGGGAGGGGGAGGGACAGCGGGGAGCGAGCCACATGTTTTATTTATTTGTTCCGAGTCACGGTCATCCCATTGTGTCCCTGGCCGTGCCGGGCCGTGGGCAGCGCCTGCCGCAGAAGGTGCGCGCCGACTTCTCCAAGGCACGGCGCTCGGGTGGGAAAGGATGGGAAAGGATGGGAAAGGATAGGAAAGGATGGGAAAGGATGGGAAAGGATGGGAAAGGGCTCCTGCTCCCCTTTCCAGCAGCTTCCCTCGCACCCCAGCCTCGTGCCCATCCCCTCCATGGTGTTGCATTTGGAATTAAGGATTTTTTCCCCCTAGAAAAGATTAGTTTTTCAAAGGAGAATGGCATTTCTTTTAGAAGAAGATCCTACAGGACCCACTGAGATTGTGATTCTAGGTCGTGTTTTACACGGAATTCTTATCTTCCTTTCTCTTGATGCACTCCTTCCCTGGGATTTATTCCTGAAGCACTCCCCAAAGGAAAAGCACCTTTGCTGAACTGAGATTTTTCAAATTTGCTGTCACGTTTGGAACTATAATTGAAATCCCAAATTGTGTTTCCCGTCTGTAGAACTTCAGAAAACACAGCTGGTGAATTTGAAATACAGTTTTAGCTTGAAAAAAATGAGAACTTAATTTTATATTTTACAAACGACTGGTTGTCACCAAAACCTTCACAAAAGGGGATTTCACATCTTAGGGAAGGGAATCACTGTCTTTGCCCTATAATTGCTGCCTGAGAGTTCTGCACCCTGTCCTGAATTTCCTCTGCTGCCCCCAGTGCCATGATTCCCTGTCCAGCTATTCCCAAACCCTCCCAGGCAGGGTCGTGTCCCACCACACTCCTCGGGCAGGTAAATCATTCTTACTGCCACTTTCCAAAGCAGCAACAAATGTCTGCAAATCCTGCCCAGCAACACAAACAGAAGAATCTGAGCACATGGAAAAGAGAATTTTAAGTATCAAATCCACCTGGGAGTGAACCTCTCTGTGCTCAAGTGGCCCTGCTGTGATTTGGGACGCTCCCCGGTTGCTGACACACTTTGCACATCTGTTCCCCCCGAGCATTCCTGCTGCGGCCTGTGCCCAGAGCAAGGAGCTTCACGCTGGCTTTAGCAGGATGGTCCCAGCTTCGCTTGCAGGGCTCAGGCCGGGACCCCCGAGCCCCCGGCGCTGCTGCTCCAGGGCGATCCCAGCCACCAGCACACGCACCCCAGGCTCCCACCCTGCCCTCTCCAGCTCCTGCCTTTCAGGAAATTCAGAAAAGATCCTTTGTGCCCAACTCGGGTTTCATTTCATTGCTTTTAAATTTGTTCAGCTTGACTTTTGACACTTCAGAGGCTTAAGCCTTCTTTAAGTACAACAATATAATAAATATTTGTGTTGCTAAAGGAAAAGTGGATCCGTTGTTAGTGTTAGGGAAAGCAGGATCTCTTTCTCATTCGTTTGGTATAAATAATTCACACAACTATGTGCATTTTATAAACATCATCTTTAGGAAACTGATACTATCAAACATTTTCAAGACAACACTCAGCAGCATATAAATATGCACAAAGTATTTACTACAGCGGATCTGAAACTAAACAAAAAAATTGTTAATGAAAGCAGAAAAATAACGATAGTTTATGTAAATAATTATGTTAATACAAAGTGTTTTCAGACTTATTTATACAAATTAGTCATCTGAATGACAAAAAGCTTTGACAAACTACAAACACCTATCAAAAATCATATTATTTGGCTCATTTTCTCTCACAATTTCCATCTTTAGCTTGCCTTGGAAAAGCAGATTTAGAGCCTCCCCTGCTCTCTGTCACTACAGCAGGAACAAGCCCAGTCGAAGGCATTTTCTTTACTTAGAAATTTTTAAAAAATGTTTTTGTGGTTTTTTTTCTTCAAAATATTTGAAGAAATGGTGGGGTTTTTAAAATGAAAAAATTAAACAATATAAATCTATTTTAATACACAATTGTTACTCAGAAAATATTCGTGTGCAGCATGTTTGGTTCAATTAGGAAAAAAACCAAAACGTATTTTCAGGTAACAATTTGATATGCAGAAAACATCTCTTTATTTTCCAACAGAAAACACTTTAAAATCATTCAGGAAATAAACGATATAGGTAAGATGAATATGAAAAACCCTGTGCACAAACTACCCAAAGCTCCACAGCTGCATTTTTTGCACTTTTTGTTAGCAATCTAATTCTAGGATTGAAGCATTCCCGGCTCGTTGACGGAATGAGATTTTCTCGCATTGTTAGAATTTACAGTTTGGAATAAAACTTAGCGATGAATGCCGAGCCCGAGCTCCGCCCCAGCCCTGCTCGGGGCCTGCGGGTCCCGCATTCCCGTGAAATTCCAGCGGGATTCCAGCGGGATTCCCGAGCTCAGCAGCCGCTGTGCCTCACGCCGGGCCGGGCTGGGCCGAGCAGGCGGCGCTGGAGGTTCCGAAGCGTTTGCGGAGCTTTGATCGGGCCCGGGCACCGAGCGGAGCCTCCCGGCCGGGGCCGCCTCGGGGCGGCTCCAGCGGGGCCCGGTGCGGGGAGGGCAGCGGCTCCCGGCGGCTCCATCGGCCGCAGACACCCTGCGGGAGCTTAAACAAGTCCGCTCGCTTAATGGCAGCCCCCGGGGACACGCTCGGCCCCTCCGCTGACCGTCAGACCCCTTGATGGAGCGGACAATAAAGCTGACAGGACAGGCTGGACACTGCTCCCGAGCGCGTCTGTGCTGCCGGCACAGGGGACTGCTCTGTGCTGCTGCCCTCGGTGTGCCCGTGGGTCACCTCCACCCCCATCCCTGCCCTCGGTGTGCCCGTGGGTCACCTCCACCCCCATCCCTGCCCTCGGTGTGCCCGTGGGTCACAGCCACCCCTGCCCATCTCTGTCCTCGGTGTGCCCGTGGGTCACTGCCACCTCCACCCCTGCCCTCGGTCCCCGCCCCAGGGCCGCCGTGTCGCTGTCACAGGCAGGCACGGCCCACAGCCACCGCATGTACACGGGGACAGCAGAGCCTGCAGCCACCACTGCTGCAAACACAGCTGGGGAACGTCCCCTAAACACATCCCAGCCGTGCCAGGGCCGGTTATTTAACTCCATGTTCTTAGAAAAGAAAATAACCAAAAGGGAAAAAACAAAATACACCACTTTTCCTGATCCAGAAAACAATTCTTGGGAGAAGAAATCCAGTTCCAAAGTATTGATTCTGCATTCATCAGCCAAAACCAAAAAAATTACCAAAAGAGTCAACCTTAGCTGTCTTCTGATCAAGTACTGATAATTGCATTTGTATTATTTAAAGAAACTATATCTTATTTTTTGTTGCTGTTGCATGTGAGCTTATTAGTATTTACTTTCTTAAGTTTCTGCCAGTAAAAAGGGCCCTGGGTTTGACAGCAAATTTTCTAGTATTTGGAAGCTTTTATCCCAATTTTAACACCTTATCTCTTTTTCTCTAGAGAATTAAATGATACTGCATTAAACCAGAAAATTATATAGAATTTTAAATGGTCCGCACAAGTGGAGAACTGACAGGTCATTAAACAGCTCTCCTGGAAAGAAACTTCCTCCTAAAAATTTAAGGGTTTACATACAATATAGGAGTATACCTATATTTACACATGTATATGAGCATACATATGCAGCAATTTTACAATAGCTAAATAATTTGTATAAATTTAATTTAAATAAAACCTACTTCTTAATATTAAATACTTTATCAATAAAAAACATTAAACACTGAGATTTTCTTTTAACCTAATAGCCAACAAAAAACAACACAGCCAAAGAATATGTAAGTATAATCCAGATTATTCCGATCTGATTTGTATTTTCAGTTCAACTTTAAAAGCTTTTAACAAAAGAAACATCCTTTTCGGCATAATGCATTGTCTAAGCTGCAGAACATGCTCAGATTTCAAGACATATTTATAAAAAGTCATTGAAAAAGCCACAACAATTTTGTGACACGTTTCTGACTAACTCAGTTAATGCTGTATTCGGATGAAACCAAGAACAAGTGGGTTTTTTCCTACCCCCCAGGTAATTGCTTTCGCTCAACAAATCAGAGTATTTTTTTTTTAATTTCTGTATTTTTATATAGTTTATAGTTTTTCATTCTGATTAAAATAATAAAAAATAAGAAGAATTCCAACTTTGATTTTTTCCTGTAGGACCTGTTACTTTCAAATACCACGAATAGTCCGGAATTCTCCGGGAGTGCACGCTCCCGGGGCACGAGGGCACGTGGGCTCTAGATAAGGAATAATTCAGTTCATCAGAAGGTGAAAAGAAAAAGCAGAGCAGGGGGAAAAGCAGGCCTATTTTTGCAGCAAGCCTTCTCCCCAATTAGCGGGGAGGGCTGTGGTTTCTGGCGGCCGGAGGGCCGCGGCTCCCCGGGCTTGCGGATGCACACGCCGGTGTCAGAGGGGAGCCGGCACCGCTGCCCCGAGCTTCACCCACGGCTCCTCTTTGTGCTCCGCTTCCCTCACATCTTCCCCGCTGCATTTCCATTTCAAGCAGCTGCACAGCCATCGCTGCACGGATCAATTTCCACATCGAATATTTAGGAATACAAGCGATGTATATTTTATATAAATATTTTCATTTAGCTGGAGCAGAACAGGCCTCTGGAAACGCGGGACACTGCAGCTCTTCACTGACGCTCCGGGCGCCTTCCCCTTTGGATCGCCAGAGGTTCTGTGGGAATTCCCGGCTCTGCGTCGTTCCCACAGCTCACTGCCTTCTCTGGAAGGCTGTCCTGCCTGGCAGGGGCCTGTGGGCACCGGGAGGTGTCAGGGTGCCAGGAGGAAGCGTGGCTCTGTGGAGGGTGCCAGCTCAGGCAGGGCCCAGGCCTGTGGGAGATCCTTAGCCACGGGGAAGCGGCAGGGAAAAGCCTGAGCCCGGCACCCAGCCACCAATGTCAGCATTTTGTGCAATTAGGAGAATGTCAGGGGCACAGCAGGGCCTGTGGTGACTCTGGAGAGCTGTGCCCGGCCAGTGGGGCTCGGCTGGGAGCGCAGCCCGTGCCAGCTGTGCAGCACCAAACCCGCAGCACCGGCACGCTGCAGGGCACGGAGCCACTGCCGGGGACGGGCTGGCACGCCAAAAGCCAGCCCTGAGTGCGCACAAAGCCTGCCCTGACCGGCTCTGCCACACCGGCCACAGAGGGACGAGCAGAAAGCTCCAAACTTCCCCAGACAGAAGGGACCTTTGACCCCTGAACCTACACAGCAATTACATTCCAACAATCACTGAGCTCTCCCTGTGACAGTCAGTTTATATTCTATAAAACAGCTACAACCTTGGGAAAAGATACTGTGAAAAAAAAGAAGGATTTAAAAAAATATTTCCGACTGCTTTATTTAGAAGGAGCACAAATTAAAAATGTTTTTCAGTACATTAGAAAACCCCAAAGGTTGCATCCACACGGTCTCAATTTTCACGTCCACCTGAGTGTTAAGCCCGTCCCTGCACAGCACAGCTCGGCCCTGCCCAACACTCTCCAGGCAGTTCTGCTCCGTGTGCCTGCCCCGCACCGTTACCTGTGTGCTGCACCCGCTGTGAATCCCACCGTGCTTCTGTGGGAATCTCTGAACTGTTCATGCTTCAAAGCATTTTTTTTTTCCCCTTTCCTATCTTTTCATATGGTGTCCAAAAGCCTATGTGACCACTCCATTGTTTTTAATTGCGAATTTCCTTAAACACCATAAACCAGCTTGTTCCTTTTCCATTTTATCTTTTGCAAATCACCTGTGTGTTCCTCTGTTCTCATTTTTGCCAGACACTTCTGTGCTAACCAGCAAGGTCACTGCAGAACCTGTATTGATTTTCCTCCCAAATATCCGAGTGTACAAATACAGATTTTACCGAGGGTTCAGAAGTCGTCCCCGAGAGCCGATGTGAGCACCACCCGACACAGAGCGGAGCCCTTGGAACACGGAGTCAGAGATGCACTCGGGCAGGTTTCCTTGGAATAAACAGGGCTGAGGTTTTTTGGGTGAGTGGGGACTCTGGCTCAGACCCAGCCCCAGGCCCTGGGGCACACGCTGGGAGTGCCACCACAGCAGCACCGTGGCATTTATCCCACCAGTGAGTCAAATGCAAAACATTTTGCTTGGTTGATTGATTGTAACATTCAAACACACTTTCCACTATTTCAACCCAGAGAGATTCCTTGTCCTTACTTTGAAACATATCCAGTGTAAATTTTCCAAACTTATCAGCCCAAACTGGAATCTTTCCTCAAGCACAATAAATAGTCACAATCTCCCTCCATTGCTGGGAGCTGGTGGGGCTGAGCCCAGCCTGATCCTGCTTCTGTTCCCCACAGAGTCTGAACACCAGGCCTGCAGCTCACCAGAAGAATGCCTGACTTGGGCAGGAATTTAATATTGGCAACTTCTTTTATTTCTTCCTGAGAATGACCAAATCCTTTTTGGAGACAAGGAAAGACCAGCTCTCCCTCTGAGACCACAAGCAACATAAATTCACAGGTAAAACCAGATTTTCTTTTTTCTTAGCTTGGTCACCGCTAGCTAATGAAACATCTAATTCAGGAAAATTTACTAGGTAAAACCTGAACAACCAGCATGGGTGGCAAGAGAAAGGGATCAGTGTGGGACTGTGCCTCAGACACACGTTTATAAGAAGCCAACTTAGCATTGTTGTACCAGATGCAGTCCCAGGGAAAAATGTATGCAGGCAACAGGGAGTTAAGTAAATAATTTTTTTCTTTTCTTTGTCGATGTGTTTAGTTCTCTTCCTGCCAAGACTCATTTCACTCTGCTATCTAGTGAGAGACACATATGGTGCAGTGAAATTGCCATCCAAGAAAGCATGTCCCAGCCTGTTGAGACATCATCAAATAAGATTAAAGCAAAGTAAAAATAAAAAGATAGAACAATTTTTTTTCTTTTTCTTGTACAGAGAACATCTGATGAAAGTCACTGAGGTACTTGAATGCTTCTAAAGGTTTTGCAACCATTTCTTTACTTTGCCTGGTTAAGAAAAAGGCAGAAATAACAAGCCAGTATTTCCTTTTTCTTCTTCAAGTTAGTGAAAAAATGTGTTTCATAATCAAGCTGATGTATGTGAATAAAATACAATATTGCCTTCTCTGCTTCTGAGCAACCAGCACTTAAATGCACAGAAACACCCCAGACTTTCTGCATTGATGGCCTCTCCACCAGCATCTCTCAAGTTCTGTATGCAAGAATTGGGCCAGGACAAAATAATCTGGCTACTAATGTCCCAGTGAGGAGCTGGCTGTGATGATCCAGAATATCCAATATTCTATGACTCTAGTCCACAGAAAGGTCCGAGTTACCTCCCAGCCAGCATTCTCAGGTGTCTCTGCCTACCAACTGCTACTTATATTAAGTTCATCCAGAAATCCAAACTGCAGGATTTAAATAGCTGTGAAACCACTGCCTGGTTTCCTTACACAGGGATGCTGGATGAAGGTGACTTTACAGCTTCTTTCCCTAGAAGGTCCTTTCAGTTCCCACATGGAAAAAACAAAAGGACCAGGTACAGAACCCCCAGCACATCACCACTTGCTCTTGCACGTGGTACTTGCAGACAACCTGTAGGACCAGGGTGCAACTGCTGTAGCAACAAGAATCTCCGAGAAGCAACTTGGCAGCTCCTCTCTTCCACTCTGAAATCAGGCTCTAGAAATATTCTGCTTCCCACCAGGAAAGCATCAGCAAACACAACACATACAGTATGTTCTGTACTCTAAGTAAATAAACAGGAGTCTGCTCAAAGCCAAAAAAATATCCCACGCGAGAGGAGGAAGCCCAAATCAAATTTCCATTGCTGATCATGAGAGAAGTTCAGGGGAGCTTCTTAACCACACAGAATAATCTGAAAAATGGGTCCAGCTTCAGAAACAAGACATATTTTGGGTATTTCTCTGTCAACCTCCCCAGTTAGAACTGAATTTCCAGTCTTGTTTCCAAGCCCTCACTGGACTGCAGGAAAGCAACAATGCATCAGTAGCAGAGATTATCCCTGGCCTTAATAAGCTGTTGTTGGCTTTCATAACAACTGCAGCCTAGGCCGAGTCACACCGAGCTCAAAGACAATCTTACCAATAGCCTGGAGCAAGGATTATAGAAACAAGAATCCGAGGGGGGGTGGGAGGGAGCAAAAATCCCAAGAAACAGGGGCTAATGTAAAATCGTTTACATATTAACCTTCTTCCCTTCTGACAGTGGTCAAGTTCTGATTCAAAATACAAATTATCTCCAATTACTTCAAAAGAGGCAGTCACAGAGCTGTCACTTAACCTTCACCATCTGTTTGGCTCAAAAGCAAGCTGTACAGCCTGCCACTTTGACCTCATCTTTCTCTTTCCACACTGGACAGGCACCAAAAGAAGAGAAGATGGTTTATTGTTCTCCCGAGAAAACCCGGGGGCTCAGGGTGCCGGAGGGAAGGGCAGCGCTCGGGAGGTGACTTAATTTAACTCTTCAGGGGGATTTGTTTGGGGAGGATGAGTTTGCAAACCTTCCTCGCTCCTCCTGCCAGCTCTCTGCAGAGATGGGGTTTGTTTAAGAGTGGAGCCTCTCTGTGAAGAGCAGCGGCTGTGAAATAACCAAGTGGGGGAAAGGCACGCACTGACTCACGATGGGTTCTGGCTTAGGGACTGCTCCGAACACAGTAGCCAGATGGACACAGAAAAATATCAGCTATTAAAGATGACAAAGGGGAAATAAATCCTGGAAATGAAACAGCTTTATAGGAAAGACAGTGGCACAAAATGTTGGGGGAAGAAACCCCAAAACCCAAAAAACCCCAAACAAACCGACAGAACCCCAAAGAGCAAAACACGAGATGGTGCACGGTCTGGGAAAGCACAGCTCGAAAGTCCCAAATATGACCCCACTGTAAGACAAATCAGAGTTACCACTACTCTCAGCTGCACAGATCCAACCAAGGCTTCTCCCAAGCTGCTCATTAACCATTGCATATTCCAGCCCCTCTCTGGCTCCAGGGGAAGGCAGGAGCTGACGCTCAGACTCACCCTGGAGCAGTGGCAGTGTGAAGGACCCAGGACAAATCCCCACCCCCCCCGCCGGGTGTCAGGAGCTCGAGGCACAGATGCACAACCCACAGTGCAGAGGTGTTGGGAATAGAACAAATCTGTTGGAGAAAAGAGATTCCAGAGGGGCTGGAGGGCACAATAATAGGGTGCAAATTTCTGAATGCCTCATGGTTTATGGGCAGCTTCTAATGCTTCTGCCGAGAAACATTACAGCATTTCCACTGGCTCTGATCTTTATTTTTAGTTTTATTACCCACTGCATAACAGGTTTCTTCTAGAGAGAAAGAAAGAAAGCAGATCCCTCTGTAAACAGGAGCCACTCCTGAACATTTCACATCGCAGTGGTTTGGCACGAGGAAAATTCCACACGGGAACGCAGCTCGGAGAACAAACATCTCTGTCGCTGTGCAGTGCCTGACACCTCTGGCATCACTGGGCATGGGGAGGGATGCCCCTTTTCTTGTCACACCGTATTTAGCCCAAGAAACACCCACTACAATGTACGTGAGCTGCAAAGTTCCCATTTCCAGAGCAGATGGTAACAAGTCAATTAAACCTGCAGCGCTCGGGCACCGCTGACAGCGGCATGAAGCACTGAGCATTCCGGTTGGTGGGAGAAAGAAAAGGGCTGCAAAAGGTGCTGAACCAAATAATGATCTCAGACAAACAGCCCTGACTTCCTAGAATCCAAATTCCTTTGCTACCTTTTTAAGAAGGCAGACAGAATACTGAACTTGATTTGCAGCTCAGAGGGGGCAGGAACCTCCCTGTGCCCCTGTGCTGGAACCACCTGACAGCCACCGCAGCCACACTGAAATGTTTAACTTTACTTAAAACATTCTCTCAGGCCTATGTATTATTTGAAGTATAACGTACAGAATTATCTAATGAATTCTCAAATCAAATACTCTCATTTTGCTGCAGGCCATTTCCTGACAACAAACTAAAGGCACAGAGGCTGCTCTGTGTGCCTGACTGCTGAATTTAAACAGATGTCCAGTGGACATCAGCCTCGCTCACATTACCTCTCCCATTCACTCGCCTCTATCTCGGCCAGTGCAAACCCCCTTAAATTAAAAACAAACAGAGACTCAAGATAACAAAAAATTCAGAAAGGCTTCCCAGCACAGACAGGCCCGTGGTGAATCGCGTCCCCTCGATGGGTGAGGGCCTGGTGGCAGTGAGAAAGTCACCGGGGAGCAGCATCTGGCTCTGATTAGGTAACAAGCTGTAGCATCTGCAAACTTGTCAGTCCCTGGCCCACAACAAAGCCCAGCCAGCAGATCTGTGTTTAAAAAAAGGAACTGGCTGTTGGGTTTTATAAGACAAACATTATCTGTTCCGTTGCAGGGTGCCGTTTTATTAAACACCACCTAGAAGGGGAAAAATTAAATGTGCTTGTTACATTTTACTTTTCATCTCCAGGAAAAAACCCATTTGGTTCTGTCTGTTAGAAACCTTTTTCCTTGTCTTCCCCCTGTGAAGAGTGGCGAGATACCAGAAGAGCTTTCACAGCCCACAGTAAGCAGCCACTGTGACCCTGGGGTGCTCTTACAGCATTGCTGTTTTCTCTAAACGAGAAAGATAAAATAAAATAAAACAAAACTTCCACACAGTGAACCCAGAAGCAATGAGTATCGAACCCACCACAGCTGAATTAAAACTTACTCATCTCCATGTTTTCACTTAGACACTTCAGCAGCGTATTTGACTATGAAAGCTTCTACATTTCAACATTTTTTCTTCCACTTTTTTCTGGGTATGTTGAGATGGCCTTTTTCTCTGCTCTGCCTTACTGAATGACAGCTACAGTTCTCAGTGCCTCTTCTGTACCCTGAAATGTATTTATACTTCTCTTTTGAAAAATGAGAAGAGAATACTCTGTGCCCCACATAAGACCAAAGTTCAACAGAACTGAAGAATATAAACCTAAAAAGTCAAATTTCTGTCCAACCTCACAGTTATTTTTGAACATCTAAGGGAAACCACCTTTGAGCAGCTCCACAAAACAGGGACCTGTAAAACTAAGCATTAGTCAAATCAGTAGTAGAGACTTAGTGCAGATCCTTCTGCACGGTTCCGGGAATCAGTCGGAAATTCAGGGAATTCAAGAATTCCTCAGTCTGAGCAGTTTGCCTCTGAAAGTGCTTCCGGTGGTGCCTCAGTGCCTCTGGGCCCAGCTTCAAACCTGGCTTCAGTCTGCTGGTGCCCCGCACAGCACAGCAATTCCTGGAGTGACCCAGCCCGGCACAGACCCAGCACAGGATCACAGCACAACGGGAACACGTGGCTTCCCATCCCCAGAGCCCAGGGACCCCCAGAGCCCAGGGACCCCCAGAGCCCAGGGACCCCCAGAGCCCAGGGACCCCCAGAGCCCAGGGACCCCCAGAGCCCAGGGACCCCCAGAGCCCAGGGACCCCCAGAGCCCAGGGACCCCCAGAGCCCAGGGACCCCCAGAGCCCAGGGACCCCCAGAGCCCAGGGCCCCCCAGAGCAGCACAGGACCCCCAGAGCAGCACGGGACCCCCAGAGCAGGACTCTGAGGGAAAACGCAGCTCTAAGGCAACTCGGGTGTGAAGCCTTTGGCTGGCTCTTCTCAAAATCTCGCTAAGAGATGTGGCCTATTTATGAGTTGTGAAATACAAACCACATTATCAACCATCTTAAGGAAATGGATTGATGTTAAGTGATACTTGAGAATCCACCCCGTAGCAAAGCTCCCACACCAGCACAGACAGATAAGCAGAAAATCCTTCCTGCAAACACCGTGGCTGTCCTGATACAATATAAACCTGGAGGTCTGAAACCACTGTCATGACTTACCGGCCTGGAACACTTTGCTACGTGTGGAACTGAAAAGAACAATTCCTAATTCAGGTAATTACCCAAATGCTGTTACATAAACCACAGCTCCAACCCTTTTTGCTAATAACCCAAATGAGCCTTCAAGTGGCCTGAGCCAGCGGATAAATAGAACAAAACCC